CTATGTTTTCTTTTTTACGTTGAATCAGGTGTTCTAAGTTTATTGTATTTATCAATTGCTTTCGTCGTATTTTTATTTCGCGTTCTTGTGTCTCTTTTTGTGCTATTTTGTTGTGTGTAGTTGTAAATATATGTGTCGATTTTAAATTAGTTTCTTTAGCTGTGAATTTTTCATTAATGTTTTTGAAGTTATTTTCTATATCATTCATAATGTGAATTTGCTGGTTCGTTATTTTATCATATTTTCTGTCAATCTCTCCTGCAACGTTATCTTTTAACGTCTCGCAAAAATTTGAATAATCATTAATAGTATAATTTTCTTCGGTTTCATTGGATTCGTCTTCCAGGGCTTTACTAATATTTCCAATAAATTGTGCCAAGCTTGAGTGATAGTTAGGTTGAGATAATATTTTTGTTTCTGGATTCCCATATATTTGATCATTCGTACTATTTTTCGTTTCTTTTTGTATGTCACTTATTATATTTAAGATTTATGTTACATCTTTAGGTATTGATACTTCTTTGCTGTGTGTTGTCGTATTTGTTTCGATATCATTTTTGTCTGCTATGTAATTTTTGTCAAATGCTATGGGTTCCCATGTGTCATGATGTTTATTAATTTCTTTTGACTTTTGTACTATAAATGTGTTTGTTTGATTTCTGCTAGTAGTTTCATTTAATGGCACTTTTTGATTGTTTATTTCCAAGTAACCTCTATCTAATCTTAATTTGTGTTTGGATAAAGCATTTATTCCTATTATTCCATCGTAAGGAATAGAAAAGTTATCTGGTGCTATATGGAAATCAAATGGTTCATCTGCAATAGATATTTGTTCGTTTCTATTTAAATGCTTTTATGGAATGCTGCTATTCTTGATAATGTTTAGTTGTGCTCCACTGTCTACTAGTAGTAGCAGTTTGTTATTCGAATTTGGTTCAAATATTTCTATGTACTTGAGAAGGTTTTTAAGTTTGACAATGTATATTTTGGTACAGTCGTTTGTAATTTGTTGATTAATATCAGTACTGTTTTTAGCTATATCTGTCTGTAGCATGGTACTCTCTATTTTCTTTACATTTCCTTCGAATTTGCTGTATATATCTATGTGTTGTTTTGTTTGTATTGGGAGAGTGGATATTTTCTCGTGGAACGTTTTTATTGTCTGCTCATTCCTTAGGCGTTCCTTCCCAAAGGAGCTCCAGAGTTTTCCGAGTTTACCCCATATTTGCGGCATTGTTCTATTGTATGACCGACACCTTTACAGGTTCTGCAAAATACTCTTTCTTCTTGTAATCTTTTAATTTTTTCACAGTTATCTATGTTATGTCCTGTTTCGTTGCAACCTTCGCATGTGATTGAAATATTTTGAAGTGGGTAATTTTTTAGTGCTTGTAGTTTCCTACATTCACTCGCTGTGTGACCCATATTTTTGCAATAGGCGCAGAATTTCTTTCTTTGATCGTTGTTAAAATTGTTTCTGTAGCCGTTGTTGTAGTTTTTATTGTAGGTGTTGTAGTTTTGTGGACTTTGCTGAGGATTTGCAGATTGTTGTGTATTCGCAATTTTTCTACAGAACTTTGCTGTGTGACCTAATTGATCACATAATTGGCACTTGTAACTTGATTTGCGTCTTTGTTCTGTGAAATATATTCGCGCTTCTTCACAATCTTGTTCTTTATGTCCCTGTTCTTGGCATATGGTGCATATTCTATAAGGTGATCTATTTTTACCTGTTGTGCAAAATTTGATTGAGTGACCTTTTTTGTTGCATTTTTTACAAAAGACTTCAGGGCACCCTTGCGTTGAATGACTTCCTTCTTCGCAAATATCGCATTTGTTTACTTTTTGTATGATCTTATTTTTACACTTGATGCCTTCATGTCCCGTTTCTTCGCATTTCCAACATTTTATGTAGTCGGCAATGTAGGGGCATTGACCTACCTCATGTCCTAATTCTTGACAGTATTGGCAATGGATATTTTTTCGTTTGTTTAGCGGGCAAGCGCTTATTGAGTGTCCTTTTTGGCTGCAGTATTTGCATATCAAATTGATTTTGTCTACTGAATTTTTACAGTTATTGGAAAAGTGATCTGATCATTTGCAATAGACGCATGCTGCAGAATGGCAAAATAGCGCTTAGTGTTGGGGGTCATGACAAATTTGACATATCATGATTTTTTTTGGTAGTTCAGGTCTATTATAATAATCATTGTATTCGGCATATGTGTTATTAATTGTCACATTGTCTGTTGCTTTTCTAATATTTATGTCATTTTCAACTTCTATAGCTTTTTTGGACATTTCTTGTAATGTTATCTCGTTGCCCAATTCATATTTTATTTCCGCTCGCATTCCTTTTTTAAAGTATTTTGCTGCGTCTGCATCTAATTCTTCGTTGAAATTTTTTCTGGCTGTTTCATTTGTTACTTGTATTCTGTATATTTATTTTATTTCTAATACTAGTTGACATAATCTATTTGTATATTGAATAATTGATTCTGTATTTTCTTATGTTATATTGCGTATCCTAGCACGTAGTTCGTGTATGTCTTCTTGAATTGGATATAGACTTCGTATTGCTGTAATTAATTCGTCTATTGTTTCTACACAGCTGTTTCCTAAAGCTTCTTCTGCTTCTCCCTTCATTCTCACTTTCAATAGTTCTACTACATTGTGTTCATCTTGGTCATCTACTAAATTTTTTACTCGTCGTAGTCTCCTGATGTACTTTGCGGGTGGCATATTTTTGCCATCGAAGTCCGGAACATAATTTACCAATTCCTTGAGTGATAATTTGATTGGGTGTGAATTTGCCATATTTATTGGGTTTGTTGCTGGACTTATGATACGTTGGTTTCCTTGAATTTGTCTTTGAATTTGCTGAGTATTTCTTTCACTCTCCTTTTCGTTTATGTATTGTGTTTTGTTTATTTTTCTAATGTCTTTTTTTGAGTCTTCGATGTTCTGCTGTTGGTTAATAGGTTCGTCAGAGTTTTTTGATAATGCGTATTTTATGTAGACAGATTCTTCGTTTGTGTTTATGCTGAATAATATATCTTTTGGTGTCCCTAATATTAGACTTTGTTCACCTAAAAATCCTCCAATGTCTGAATATCTATCGTGTTTTTCTGAGTCAAATGTGTCAAACGTCTGGTCTAATAGTGAATATTTGTCTGAATCAGTGTAGTCGGTTTTGTTTGTTTGTTTTTCTGTTAAATCAACTAATTGGTCAGCTGTTGGTATGATTTTCTTTATTGCTCCTGTGTTTTTCTCTTTTCCTACGATTCCTTCTTTGGTCTTAGTCGGCGATCTTCGTAGTTTGTTACTCTTTTTGAGAGCTAATTCATCCAGTCCTTTTTCTAAAAGGTCTTCTAATTTTGGATTCTTGTCAATTTGTGATCGCGTAAGTTTTCTAATTACGGATGATGTGTCTTTTGTTGTGCTGGACTTTTTGCTCATTTGGGCATTTTTTTTTTTTTTTTTTTGTTATAAACAAAGGGAATTCGACAAAATCAAAATAGAGTGAAGCAGGGAAAATATAAGAAAAATTATTGTTAGTAAAAAAAGTTATGGTAGAAATATATAGAAGCACAATTACTTATTGAGATGGCAAAAAAAAATTGTAACAATGAAATTGTTAGATAAATAATAATATATATATTGTTTGATTTTCGTACCAGAACCAATTGTTACGTCTTGTGCATTAACTACGAATAGCTAATGAATGAGACGTTCCAATATGTTGACTAGTGGTTAGATATGTCTCACTTATAATAAATGTATGTGGAAATGTAAATATGTATGTATGATAATTGCACTACTTTGATAATCGTAGTTTTTAATTGTTGATAGAAATGCAGCAGGCTCTAACTGCTTGTTGAATTGTATTGGATAGGTCGTTGAATAATACTTGCACGATATTACTTTGTAACAGTCGCGAGTTTATTAAGTAAAATAATCACCAATTGTCGGACCGGTGTGTACGGAGTTGAGTCTCACAGGTACTTATTGACTGACTGACGGACTACTGATCAACTGCCCCCGAGTAATTTTGTTCATTCCTTTTTATATCTTTTACAGCTCTTTTCAGCTCAGTATTGCGATATGGTGTGACATTTTGTTTTTGCTGAATATAAATTCTTGCGTTCGGTGACTTTATTTCGGAGTGTCATTTACCTCGCGTTTCGTCAGCTTTTTGCTGACGTGCGAGTAGTTTAGCAGCTTTGAATTTCATGAATGTGCATTTGTTACAAAAAGGATGCGTCGTAAGCCGTAACAACCGTATAGTTTTTGAACGAAAATTTTTAATAGAGGATTTATTATCTTGATATTTGTTATTTTTTTCCTTGGAAGCTATGCAAATATAGCAAAAATTGCTAAGAATAAAAGTCTTATAATTGTCTAAAGAATATGTAAGTATTTTTCGGATATTTTTGAGCAATTTTTTGGTTGTAAAAATTGACCAATAGCCAAAAAAAAAATTTCTTGTATATAAAAAATTCCTTCTTCTCTCTTGGTACTTTTTTTATAAGCTCATAGTTTTCGAGTAATGAATTCATGAACGTAATAGAAAAAATTACGCACTTGAGGCGCTATTTTGGGCACCTACAGGTGTCCGGGAATCATGTATTCGTCAAATTTGAACATTTACTTGACCGGTTAGTAAGGTTCCAACATCATTACACAGTGGAAACCTTTTGAAAACTCTCGCAAAATTCCAAAAATAAGGTTTAAAAAATTCGTATTTTTTTAAACTGCGTTTTACCTTGATAAACAATTTTCTGCAAAAATTTCGTGGCACCATCGGGAAAAGTATTTCTTAAAATTTCAGAATATGGCCTTCACAATTGTTTCTGATGCTTGTAACATTAGTTATGAGGTCTCAAAGATCGATGTACCGATACTGGCATTTTCAGCTGAATCGGGTTAAACTATTCGGTATCTGTGTTTTTAAATTAGAAGCTCATAAATCTAACAAAATACTTTATAATGTTGTCGATACATGTTTAAATTTAATATATTTTAGAATAAACAATTGACTAAAAATCTTGCTATATCAACATTTTTATCTACATAGGCAATATTTAACAATTCTGTACAAAAAAGATTTTCGCTTTTCTAATATTAGATAGGATTTATCTGTTGTTTGAAACTCGAATGACATCAATAAGTTTATGTTCGTCCTGCAAATAAGACTTGTTCATTATTTTGTAACATAACTGTGACATACGATTCTTGTCACGCAAGGCTAGATTTCTCCAGTCTTCTTCAAGTTGCTGCATCATAAGATCTTTTATAACGTTGCTTTCGATTTTGGTTAGTTCATCGTCTTCATGAGCCCAATGTTTCCACATTGTTTTCGCCTCATCACTGTTAATAAGAATATCATCAGTTAAATAATTTTTTTTAACGTGTTCAATAACTGTAAGTATATTTGTATTATTTAATTTAGATGTTTTATTTGAATACTATATTTCATAATAGATTTGTAAATACATATAACTCAAAAGATTACGAAAATTAAAAGTAAAGGATGTCAAGAAGTATATTGTGTAACAGACAATACAAATGTAATTAATAATTGATAAGTGAAAAACAATTTAAAAAATTATCAAGACAACTTTAATAAATTAAAATGAAAAAAGTATTGAGATATCATTTTAATACGTATAAAAGGGAAAAATGTATTTTCATTATTTGAATTTGTAACGAAAGCTCGTTCCTTAATTATTTTTTTAGAGTGGGCAAGTGAGGCGCACTCACTCATAGTAATTGAGGCGGGAAGGGGGAGAAGGTAAAGAAATGAAAGTGGTTACGGAATTATATACAAAACACAAATTCGTATTTAAACAAATCTAATTCTAATCAACTCAAAATCAAATAACACTTGGATTTCAAAACCGTACATGAATAACCGTATAATAATAAACCGCATTATAAAATGAACTCTTATAATCAACTTTACAAACTCTTAACCTTATAAACACAACGGTGTTGCTAACACGACTTAATACTATAGATCACAACGGTATTCTTAACACCTATTACAATAGAGAACAAAGAATAAGTTAACTAACTAATTGCGCTTACAAATCTATACGAAACACAACGCGCGTCGCCCGACAGATAACCGCCTCGACGACGAACCGATTTAGGCTACTTAGCTAAAAGAGAAAGTCGCCCAACGAGGGATCACCTGGACGATTTCTATTTGAGCGATTTATGACGCCGACCGTAATTAGGGCAGGTAGCCGGCGTGTGCACGCCTTGCTACCTACCTAACGTTTACAATTACGCTCTGTGCCAAGAGAGAGAGAGAGAAAGAGAGAGAGAGAGAGAGAGAGAGAGAGAGAGAGAGAGAGAGAGAGAGAGAGAGAGAGAGAGAGAGAAATTAATTTGCGAAACTTGACCTTGAAACTGGAACGGGAGGCCTGGCTGCGCCCTGCATACGATGTTGCTGGTCGTCGCTGGGCAACTCCTGCCGGCTTCTCCCGGTAGAGTTCCGAGCCGATACCGGAACAAGGCAGTCGTCCTCTGTCCTGTCGATTCTCTTTGGCCCTTGGCGGTCTGTGCGTTCGGCTGGCCCCTTTGTCCTCAGCTGTACTTTGACTTTTTACCGCTGGCCGTCTACCGTCTTACTCACTGCTCGACTCACTACCGTCTGTATCGTTCGTTTTTCTCTTCCGCGATCGACAGCTTCTTCGCCTGAATAAAGTCTGGCGGAGTTGCGCCACTGCCGTAAACAGTGTTTGCGCAATAATGTTTCAATAAATACTGCTGCACAAGGTTTGATACATGCGCTGGAGCACTGTCGTGATGAAGAAGCCAGTCACCAGTTTTTCAAAGTTACGATCGCTTTCTCCTAATTACATGATGCAATCTTTTCGACACTTCAACGTAGTACCTTTTGTTGATTGTTTGACCTGTAGGAACATATTCCTGATGCACAACGCCCATATAATAAAAAAAAACAATCAACATTGACTTGATATTGTTTCAACTTTAACAGACTATTTTCGACTGAAGCTGGGATGACAGTTTCCACTGCGAAGATTGTCTTTTGAAAGGTCTTTTGAAATATTTCAATACTTTCCACACAACTTTTACCGAGATTCAAGCAAAATTTTATGCACATTCGCTGTTCGATTCGTTCTGCCATTTTTAGCAATAAATGAATTGCAAGGAACGCAAAAAAGTTGTAAACAAATATATGTTGCGCGAGAACTAAGGCATTTCATCGGTATCTTGGGCTACTGACGAGAAGGTTAGGAGCTGCTAATGACGTTCGTATCCTCCGGAGATTGCTTGTGTCTCTCCGCGTGAAGATATCAACGTAGATCCGGAAACTTTTGGGACAAACGTCGTAATGTACAAAATCAAATAACAAAGACTAAGTGAGATGCGCAATTCAATTACGCGGCACGGGTAGAGACATCCGTATTCTACCATGGCTGGTGACACTCTTCTCAATTTTTCCACGTCAATCCCTTAACTTATGCCGCCATTCATCTCCTCTTTCGAATTTGCATAGATTAGAGTGGAATGAATTAAGATAAATTAATTAATTAAGCATGTATGTGTATGTACGTGTGAGTAGTTAAGCAAGGCAGGTAGCAATCTTGATTGTTTGTGTTGACGAATGACTTAGTAACGAGTGCTGATCTGTTTGTATTGTTTGCTTTAATGTTCCCGAGATTGCCGAAAAGTAATAGTATCTTACTAATAGTATATTACTCGGCTTCGCCTCGGGCGTCAAACTCCGCCGGCCAGGAAATCCAACTTTCTGGCCATGTGTCGTATACTATTTTTCTTCCTCCCCACCCGAAAGTACGTTCAAGTATTATTTCTTTAATAACAAAATCTCGTTCTCGTCTGCTGCTCAGCTGAAATATCAATTGCGGACTGCAGTAGCGCGCCCCCGCGGTCGACTCGCGTATTACTGTTCTTCCGGGCCACTCGCACGGCCAGCTGATTGTGTGTGTGTGTGTAGGTATTATATATCGGCTTCACCTAGGTTCTGCAAAAGTCGGGCGGACAACAACACACACAATACAGAAGGAAAAGAATGAGAATAAGACAGAAACGTAAAGCCGATAATTGATTCGTTTTCATTTCTTTTTATTACAAAGCGATTAGAACTAGATAATAATACTATGTCAAATCTACTATTTACTATAGTATTATCACATTTTACATTTTACATCTTACATTTACTTTCATTACAACTCCCTAAAATCACTTTTTATTAACCTATTTTAAGAAAGATATTCACCTGTAGTGGAACTCAAGTTGAATACACAATTGTTGAAAGTGCAATTTTCAAACTTCATAGGGTGCTTGTTCAACATGGCATCAATGTTATTTGCATTTTCATCTGTGTTCAAGTTTTCTGTGAGTTTTCTTTTTTTATAAATTCTAGGTTGATCATTTGATGGACTTGTAAAATCAATTTTTACTGGTGGTTTTAAGAAGAATGATTGTTTATCTTTTGCAGTTGATGAGCTTCCACAATGATTTGCTACAGGTGGTGTTACTATCCTTTTATTATTAGCTGTTAAAAAATATACTTCTTTGACTGCATCTAAAAATGTATTTATAATGAATGAAAAGTTTTACAGTTTATCGAACATAAAGAGTTTTCTTGTTTTTCTTTTGATAAAGTTAATATTTTTGGATCTTACTTGCAGTTTTATCCAGATCAGCAATGGTGAACTCGTCAGAAAAATGTACCCCAACCAGATCATAATTTTGTAAATCATTATCAATATAGGTTATTTCAGTATTCACTGATCGTGAGTTATGTATAGATGCACTGATTGACTCTTTGCTAGTTGAAGGAATGGGTGCTGGCAGTTGGTTTGGTGTCTCACTTGTTGTAGCTTGATGTACAAGACCATTGTAAATCATCTGCCTATTGTGCACTGAATTTTCGATGTACCCTTGTGCAATTATATCAGACCGCCACCTGCCTAATTGCTTTATCATTTGCATAGTCGCTCCAGATTCTGAAAGTAGCGTTGCAGCTGTGCGTCTGAAACAATGACCTGTGTATCTCTGCGGATTAGGTAGTTCCAAAAACCCTGCGATTTTCATGGGTATACCATCAATTGAGTGTCTTCCAATAGGTTGCTTTATACATTTGCCGTTGCGATACTGAATGAAAAGTCGGTCAAATTCAATGCCTCCAGGTCTTAGTGAAATATATGTTTGCACTTTATCGTAAAAAAGATTGCCAATGATGAATTGTCCTGGGTAGTCATTCTTATTATCACCTATCGTCACGAGATACCTGCCTTTTAGATCTTCAATATCAGAAACTTTCATATTCGTTAATTCATCACAACGCAGACAGCCACATATTCCAAAAATGAGTATAACCTGTAAACGATAATAATGAATGGTTTAATTGAGAGAAGTATGTCAACAAGAAATAATAAATAATACCTTGAAAACTAAGTAATCATGATCCAAAGCTTCCTTCATAAACTTCATTATTTGGTCCCATTTGAAAGTGAAGCCTTTCTAGGCTTGTAGCCTTGGTTATTTGTTTTGATCAAATCTTTCAATTTTGCAAATCGAGTTATATCAATACTGTTATTCGGGCTCAGCGTCTTCCGCAACATGCTCCAGATACTCCATAGTGTTGGAGGTTTCACTTTTGTTTTCAATTCATCAAAATAGACTACTAAATTCTCTTCAGAAGTAGAGAGTGATTTTTCATTTGCAGTACGCCAGGTTTGATAGTTGTTATATACTAACATGTAACGTTCTCCCGACTTTTTCGGAAGTGTACCGGATTTCACAATCAGCCGGGCTTCTTTTTCGAAATTTCTCAAAACTTCTTCTTCGTCTGCTGAGCCTTCAGATGATGTGTCATCCATACTCAGGCCTTGTAAACAATTGCACACAAGTAGCACCAGCGAGCAGGGTAACGAAAGGCTAGGTCTAGCAGCTACTCGGCGCATGCGCAGATCTCGACCGAGGCCACAAAAGTCTCTCTTCCCGGACTGATACAGAGCCAGGAAGTACGTACTTTCGGGTAGAGGATCCAGAAAACAAAATTAGCGTACATCTTATCTTATCTAATGCAAGTGTCAGTGCGCAACCTTGAGCAGATCTCATCGCTGTAAGAGAGTGCAGCGGTAGCCAACGGACAACTTTTCATCTGCTCTTAATAGTAAGATGCGAATTCGAATAACACATTAGTAAGATGCTTAACCAAACAACCCAAACAGTAGAATGTCAACTGAAAATTCATTTCAGGAAAATCCTAATTTGCGGCAAAACTAGCAGATACGATTCGAGTAAAAATATACTATTTCACGCAGTTGTGTAAAATAACGTTAAGTCGTAACGCAAATACCACAGTT